CTCTCACATAACTGTCATTTCCAAAATATAAAACCCAAAACCAAATTAAGGAAACCAAACAGTGGATTTAATACTAGTGAGGGACAGTCAATAAAAACAAGAAAAGAAGGGGAAAAACAAAGACACTTCTCTGAAAGAAGGAAGATGGCTGATGGGATGGGTGGAAGAAAGGACAATGGGTATCTGCATCAAATTCTCACACCTGGTCAAAGGTAGAACCTGTGCCTCCAAGATAAAGAACTAATCAAACTCTGCACATATATCATACATATATTCATACATCTTCATGCATTTAGTTACAGACTCAAGTTCCAAATGGAGGTAGAATGTTATGTGATCCCCCAACTGCTGTCCCCACTGCTGCCTGAAATAGACACTAAATGCACCTAAGAGCCAGGACCTGGGCAGTCCTGGAATCAGGAGGAAGGCCAGGGTAAAGACTGGTGAAGGCTTCTCCCGAGTTCTGTCCTTTGACTTGTGGATTCCTGCCTAGGACCTGCTGCTCGGCCACAATGATTCCACGGAGAGTGAAGATAATAACAGGTGTGGTTTAGGCATGGTTCTTGGTTGCCGGTAGACACCATGGACCATGCTGGATACGGTCTCTTGTGGGATCCACTTGGAGCTGAGGCTGAGAAACAGTTAGCACAAGGGGACCTAAATTTTCTGCCCAGAAATGAGACTCCCAGGGGAAGTAATCCTAAAAGACCCTTCTACCCAGGATTTCCAGGAGCAGCACTGGGACTCAGTATGGAGGTTAAGATGCTGCAGAGCCGGGGTGCAAACCCAGTGGCCTGTGAGGTCCAGGCAGAGGACCTGAAAGTCTAGACCAGCAGGATGGGGTGGGATGTGTCTGGCCACGGCAGAGCTGTTCCCCACTCTAGTCCAAGGCTGCATGGTGGGACAAAGGGCCTGTTGCTTTCCAATCTCATGATTTCTTGAAAGAGTTCGAGGAAGAAATCTGGTTTTTAATAGGAACTCTTCTGGTATTTAAGTTTTGGCAACTAATTAAAGATAGTAACTAATAAAGTCTAATGAAAAAACTGTTTGTGGCCTCATCTGGCCAAGGGGACATCAGTCTTAAAACCTCTAGTGAAAAAGGAAAGAGAAGCAGATTCCCAAGAACCCGATTCAAAGCTTGGCTCTGCTCCTAACTTGCTGGGTGGCTTTACCAGGCTCATGTCCCTTGTCTGGACCCTGAATTTCCTCCTGAATAAGGATACAGAACTTGGGAATCTTTGAGAAGCTTGCATTTGAGGTGCCATGGTTTTATGAAGACCAACAGAGATCTATAAAGTCAAAGCCCTTTGGAATGGGAAAAGATAGGCATTGATAAGCCTAAGTACTTATAAGGCAAAGAACTAGCAGGAATTCTGGTAGCTCACTGAAGGGGGCAGGAGCCAAAGGATAGTTTAGAGAAGAGCCCAGCAGCATCCGGTACTGTCAAAGGCACAGTGATGCTCAGGCATGCAGTTCCATCTGCAGCTACAACCCTATGACCAGTGGCTGCCTACCCATGTGTGACATGCCCTGATTCCTTTGTGAGTCCGGGAAGTTGGAGGCAGAGGTGGGCAGCAACAGGAAGCCTGGGAGCAGCTCCACTCTTCTGTGAATCCCCACCGGACGTCTAGGGTATTCCACACCTGGGACCAAGCAGTGAGCACTCTAGCTCCAGCCTGTGGGTGCCCCACAAACCGCAGCCCAGGTCCACTCTGGTTGGAAAGTTTTCATACCAGGCATACAAAGGGCTTGTTCCCCACCAAAGATGGCATTCTGAACGTTAACTCTCTCTCTCTCTGGATTGAACAGCAAATAGAATGGAGAAGAGTTTTAGGTGAAAGAAGAAAAAGAATACAAAATAATAAAAGAGGTCAGAAGAAGGAAGAAGAGAGAGAATAAATGTTTAAATATGCGATCCCTTGGATTTTATAATAAAACTGTTTACGTTCCGTTTAGAACCAGGAGGTTGGATGTGTGGATGTTCTGTGTGGAGCCGGGGAGGGGGGAGACACTGAGGCCTCAATATCATGATGGCGCTTCTGTCGCTGAAGAAGCATCTTATGCTCCCCACCCCCACCCCTGTGGCTGCTGCCTCCCCCCAACTTTTCCTCTTTTCGCCATTCAATGTAGAGCTGGGATTTGGCTAGAATTCCACAACTGGACCCTCTCATTGGAAACCTGATCCTGTTTTCTTGGGCCTCTGAATTTATACCAAGCATTGCACAGGGGCTGGGGACCCTTGAATCTAGGTCAGAACATGTCGCCGGCATTGATTTTGCTAGAGTGAAGCTTCTCTCAAGGCAGCCCACTGGATATCACACCACTCTCAGAAGAGGGAGAAAATGAGGAGGACAGGGGGTGGGAGAGGAGGGGGAGGGGAGGGGAGGAGGAGGAGGGGAGGGGAGGAGGTGGGGAGGGAGAGAGGGAAGGGAGGAGGAGAGACAGCCAGAAAAGAATAGAGGGGGTGGAGAAGGAGAAGGAGAGCTGGAGGGAGGAGAAGAAAGGGTGTGGGTGTGGGTGGGGGGAAGGGGAGGGAGAAAGAGCACCTTTCACTACCTGGGACAAGGGAGAGTAAAGTGGGCGGTTCCAACTACAATCAACTGAAATTTGTGCTCTCAAAAATGATGCTAACAAATAAAACAAGAAAAAAAAAGAAAAAAAAAAGGGGGGGTGCTATTTACCTTGGTGATTTTGAGAATGAAGAAAAACATCTCAGGGCTTCCTACAGTTGTTGCTGACTTTTCTTTTCTTTCCTCTCCAGTTGTTTTAATGCATTCGCACATTTGCAGGGTCCTGCTTGTTTTGATAAATGTCTTCACAGTTCCCCAGGAACAGCTGCTGTCCTTTCCCACTGGGGCATTCTGGAAGGAGGTCCTGCAGCCCTGAGCCTCAACCCTGCACACTCAGTCTGGCCCAGGCTCAGCTCAGAAAAAAGGCCAAGCCCTCAGGGCGGCATCCTCCACCCCTTTACTAGAGTCCCACAAAGCAGAAACTCCCATGGGACCAATCCTGCAAATTCCTCTTTCTCTCCTACCTTGATGAGGTGGGCAGGGCACGCCTTTCAGGGTCAGACAGAGCAAGGTTTTGCCTCCGACTGCCTGGGTGTCTTTGACTCACCTATCCTGTCTCTCTGAGTCACATCTCCCAGGACAGGTGAGAATGAAACAATACAATGTGCTTATCAGGGGCTCAACAAATGTCTGTGCCTTCCCTKATCCTCTCCCCTCTCCTCGCTCTTGGGAATCACAGACAGAACTGGAAAGAACCCCAGAGAACATGCAGTCCAGCATCATTCTTTTCCCAAAGAGGGAGAACAGCTTGTYCACAGTCATACAGCACCTGAGTCTGAGACAGGACTTGGCCTCAGTTCAATGGTCCTCCCTCACAGCCAAAGAACTCAACAAATACCTACGGAGTGATCTGCTTCAGAGGTTAAAAACTCCTTAACTGCTGATGGAGGGCCCAGGCACTGTCAATTAAGCATTCAGAGAAGTCAGTGCTAGTGTCAGTCAACTTGTGGATGGTCGGATGGTGTGAGAAGGCACTGTGGAAAACATTTTTGCATTTTCCACTGACATTGTTTCCCTGGGTTCTGAGAATTAACTTATTTTTATAGAGTCTAGAGAGTCCGGGATAAAAAGGCCCTCTTACAGTGCAATATGACAATGAGTGATATTTACGGAGCCCTTGCCTCTGAACGATTGCAACAGACTTGGCCCAACAGACGCTGGAGACAGTGGGTGCAAAACAATGTGGATTTTGCAACCACCCTTTGTGTCCTCTGTGGGAGCAGGGGTGTGGGAAAGGCTGGTGTTCCCTTGCACCGTCTCTTTCTCTCCTTTCCCTCAGGTGTACAGGGCAGGCATGATCGCCTTGCAGAGGGCCTCGTTCTGCAGAGCCCACCAACATGACAACCCTTTCTCCTTTTGGATCCCATTAAACAAGCTTGAAATGCTGGGCAAATCTGGAACCATTCTTCTCCTGTCTGGGCCCTGGAATCCTGGTTGGGAACACAGAAGTTTGAACCTATGGGATGTCTTAGATCCTCCCTGAGGCTTCCTCCAGTTTTGACTTTAAGAACTTCACTCAGAATTCTGGGCAGAGAAGCACCAGCCATCTTGGTCAGAAAGCAGTTGTGAATGTTCTTTATTCATATGTTATTTTTGCACAGTGTCTAACAGTCTGCAAGAGCATTTTCATCCATGGTACAACAATTAACCCTGACAACCACCCTGTGAAGTATGCATTATTATCTGCTTGCTTTCAAAATAGAAAAGCGGAGCCTCAGAAAAGAGAAGCAACTCGTCCAAGGGCACATACTGGGGAGTGGCAATGTAAAGATTCAAATCCAAGTGTATTCCCAAAGGTTATATTCAGTCCAAGACCCACCATTCCCCGGCTACCTCCAAATGTGGTTCCTTAATAGATGCCAGATCAACAGCATGGATGGAGGGATGCCCTGCAGGTAAAAGGCTCCTGAGCCACTGGAGGCATCTCAGGGGCAGGTGACCTGAAGCTGTGAGGTTTTCACCCACCATGGAGACGCACAGTGAACTGGGGTGAAGCAAACGCCAACCCCTTCCTTCCTCGTCAATTTAAAAAGGTCACACATTTTGCCTGTGCCACCAAGGAAGCAGAACATTCTAGTACTTTAGAGCTGAGAAAGCTAAGCCKCCTACCCTCTCTGTGTTCACATGGGGAGGCTGAGACCCAGAGAAGGAAATGGCTGTTTCCAGATCACCTGGCTTCTACTGTCAACTCTGCAGCTACAAGTCAGGTGAGGGAGCCTCTCTATCCTCCCCGTTTCCCACACTCACCCCAGGAACTCAGAGACTTGTGGGTCTCTTGAGCTTAAAGACAGAGCTGGCCAGAGGTCAGAGGATGGAGAAGGGAGCAACCCAGAGACTTTCACAGCAACACAATGACTACTCGGCTTCAGAATCTCAGTGTCTGCACTTGGCTACAAATGGCCCAGGGCCAGTAGGCCCAGGAAACCTTACCTCTGCTCCGCAGGGCTGTAGGTCTCCCCTCTCTGGCAGCTGCTCAGGGTGACGGGGTCAAAGTTGTCGAAGGAGCGGAGGGCCACCCCCGAGATGGCGACCAGGGGCGAACTGAAGCTCACACGTACAGCCTGGCTGTGGTAGAAGGGCTGGCTGAGGTCATGGACCACAGGGATAATCAGGGGATTGTTCCTGCAGCTCAGGACATGGAGGCCTGTCAGGGAGACAGAGGAGCGGAGGGGCCAGGCTCATTACTCAAGGCCAGTCACGCCCTCCCCAACGGGCCCTTCCCGAAGCCCCCAGACCCTTTCATGTCACTGCACAAAAGCACCATTGGGCAGCCAGAGGGGATTTTGAGTTTGATTGAAAGTTTCTTTGTCCGCCTTTTTTTCTTGGTTCCAAATCTTTCCAATCCCCCTGCCTCCCTGCCCCCTAAGCCTTCCCTTCACCTAGTGCCCACAGCCCCTCTTCCTCCTGCGAATGGCCACCCATCAGCCAAGCATCCCTGGTCCTTGACTCCCTCCCACAATGCCCTAGGGCTTGAGGTCTGAGCTGCTAGTTTTCAGCTGCTGGTTGGTCTGAAAGGTGATGGAAATAATTCACGGTAACCTGCCTTCCTGGAGTAAACCGTCCCCTGCCATCGGTAACCTGCAGACCTGGGAGCAGCCCTGTGAGTTAAGGACTTCTACACCACCCGATCTGCAAAGCAGACCCACATGCTTGGGCAGGAGGGGCTCTCTGGACACAGCACAGCTGTGACCCAAAGCCCAGGTAGAATCCAAACTTGCCCTGCTCAGAAGTCCTCAAGATTTTTTAGCACAAGTTAGAAGGGACACCAGGTCCCCAGGTTTCAGAAAGGAAGTGGAAAGAGGGGCAGGAGAAAAGAGGTACCTAGAGAGAAATGGAGTGGGGTGGGGTGGTGGCTGGTGGACCTGGATTCAAGTGCTGGTCTAGACACCCCCTGATCATGGGACTCCAGCAAACTCCTTAAAATCCACCTCCACATCTGCAAAGGGGTATAACCCTGGCTGTGTCCTGGCAGCCTGTGGTGGTCCAGCAGGTGCCCTTTGTTCTACTTTCCTAGCGCTGGGAAGCCGCTGCTGGGGGTGCTGGGATACCGGGTACAGGAGAACACAGTGGGAAGGGACAGGGGAGACAGAAGGCTCAGGCACCAGTAGGAGGATCCAAGGAGCTTCTGTGGAACCAGACCTCTTCCCACTCTGCCGAGAAACCTCTCCTCGGAGCTCTCTGCCATGCCAGGACAACTATAAAAATATTTGCTTCTCACTTAGGGAAATTTCCCAGAAATCCAGATACGTCCAGAGGGGTTTTCTTTCTCTTCCTTGTTTCCTTCTCTTTCCCTGGCCTTTAACGCTAAATAAATAAACAAAGACAAAACAAAACAAAACAAAACAAAATCTTCCCTGCTTCCTTGGCTTCTTTCTGACCCTGAAATGACCCCTGGTCCACTGGCTTCTTGCAGGTTTTTGAAATAAGCTCTCTGGAATGGTGTGGGCACAGCTTCGAGTCCAGGTTCCAGGGCTGGCTCAGGACTCCAAATGCTTGGAGGCCTACCCAGAGCTCTCCGGGGTAGACTGGCTATGAGGGAGTGCAACGGGATTGCTTGGTGCCGACGGGGARTTCTTAGCACCAGCTCGAGTGCAGGGCCTGCTCACCGCAGTGTCCTGCAATAGCTTACTCTGTCTGTAAGGTTTCTTTGTTCTTTTTGTATATGAAGAAAGTGGGGTCTCTAAGAGAAGTGCTGCAAGGTTGAGAAAACTGCTTCCTCTCTCCTGGTCAGTGAGTGGCGGAACAGGGTTCAAACCTTGCTGCCAGATCTGGAGTTGGGCCATTTCCCCTGACCATGGCCCAAGCAGAGGGGAGGTGCAAGTGACCACTTACTTGAATCTTTACCCAGGGCAGCTTCTCAGCAGGTAGGACCCCATTCCTCAACTGCCTCCCCACTCCTGAATCTGATAGGAAACTCTCTTATTCCTGCTCCCATGGGGATCTTCTCCAGAGGTTGTGCTGGGCGTATGTCACCACGGGAAGGTCTCACAGGCAATGATTAGGGGGTGAGCAGCAATGGGCTGGGATTCTGAAACCTGGTGACTCAGCCCYGACGTGATATGTGACCTGCAATCCCTTGGTGCCTCTCTATGGATCTCAGATGCTGACATGGGTGATGGGGAAATTTCCAGAGTCTTTTGAGGATCACATGTGATGCCTAAGTTTCCAACAAAGAGAAGCCACGGAAGGGAGGGCCTTGCCATTGACCCTTGTCCCCTGAGCAGCCACATCCAGGTTTCTCTGGACATACAACTACATCTTGATGGGGGCCAATGGTGAAGAAGCAAGAAAGTGAAAAGCGGAAGGAAGAGGTCACTCCAAGCTGTGGTCCTCACCACCACCCTAGGACAGGTAGGAAGCAGGTATCGGGGGCAACCAAGCCCCGGGGAACAGGCTTGCCTAGATCGTGGCTCTGATCTTTGGTATCAAGCAGCTGCACGCTGATGGTCTCTTGTTTTTGGTCCCCATAATATGTTCCATCGGTCACCAGGTGAACAATGACAGCTGCAGCAACCATTGGCTGAGAGTAATATGCCTGAAATGGAGAAGACACAAGAAGGTCACTCGCGTGCTCAGGCATAGGGGAGGGAAGCAGCCACACTGGGGTGGGTTTGAGGAGAATCTCCATCCACGTCTGCAACTGGACTCTTCATTGGGGCCTCAGACAGAGAGCAGAAGGCAAACAACAAAACAGTGAGGAGYACTGGCTCTGAGGTCAGCTTTAGTCTTGGCTCTGCTCCTTCCAAGCTGTGTGACCTGAGTGGATAGCTGGGCCACTCTGGGCTCAAATTCCCTCATTCCTAGTTAATGGATTAAAAAAAAAAAAAAAACACACAGCTACATCACAGAGTCACTGAGATGCTACCAAGACCATAGAAATAAAGTGTCTAGCAYAGGACCTGGGACACCACCAAAACACACAAAACCACACCCTGCTTATTACAATCCATCACTCATTCATGTCAGCCTCCATACTGGGCCACAAGGAGATCAAGTGAAATAAGACGTGGCCCTTGCAATTCTGGGATCCATGATGTTGAAAGTAGGTCAGTGACACCTAAATCAACATCAATACAATCCACCAATCCACAGTCAGGAAGATTGCTACAGAGTGTCCTGTAGCGGATGTCATCCAACAAGTGACCACTAGACTCATGCAGAAGAAAGAAAACAGTCACTGATTTCTGTGGAGATCAGTAAAGTCTTCATGGTAGAAAAGTTGATTTTAAAAGGTCTTGAATAACAAATAAAAGGTTTAGGCAGATAAAAGGTATCCAAATGCTTCTCCAGTGTGAAAGTTGAGTGGGGGTGTTCTATGAGCATTAAGGGATTCCACTTCAGGAAGCACCCCAGTACCAATTGTTTCCTGCCCTATTAATTAATAGCCTCCTGGGTGGATGAGCTGTGTCCAGAAAGGCTCATCAGGAGGCTCAGGGCTTCCTGGGTGCCAGTGATGGAGATGCCAGGGCTCTCGAGACTTACCTGCAACCAGAAAGTGGTCTGAGCCAGCTGGGAGTAAGGATAGCTGATGGTGCAAGGGTACCAGGCATGCTGGGAGATTCCCTCACTGAGATCGATCACTTTGGTTCGGCACACCTAGAAAAATATAAAGAAGAAAAATCATGTTTTGAGGGTCTTGAAAGTTCAGTTTGATTCAATTTAACAACCCTTTACTATCCATCGATTGTGTTCTTGATTCTCCAAGAGAAAGCAGGGATATATAGACAAGCATCTGCCCCAGGAGCTTATGTTCTGCTGTGAAACTCTGGTGGTAGTGATATAATAGAAATCCTCACAGGAACAAATCTTGGAGGAGATGACTTCAAGTTGAGCTGGGAAAAGCATGGCAGACAGAAGGAACAGAAGCAAAGGTTCAGAGGAAAGTAAAAACCCAGAGTGCTTAGGTTGTAATAGGGTCTATTACTATAGCCTGGGGAGTGTGGCAGACTGCACTGGGAGAGATTGATCTCAGAGTCTCAAATGCCAAGAAGGTTATCTTAGAACAAATCTGTGAATTATGCTCAGAGCCATAATAACAAAGACTATAAGAATGAGCCCAGGCTTCCTCAAAGAAAATCAATTCAATCTCTCTCTCTCTCTCTCTCTCTCTCTCTCCCTCTCTCTCTCTCTCTCTCTCTCTCACACACACACACACACACACACACACACACACCCACACACACACACACACACACACACTCATTCTTAATAATAGATAACACCAAAAGGATGTTAAAAGAAAAGGGGAACATTTATACATAAACAGAATTGTTTAAATTCAGGAGTTTCCTGCATATCATAATATTTCATTTAAGAAAAAAAAAACTTCACTGCTCTGCTTTAAAAATATCAAAAAGTATTAAAACGTGCTAACTCTCAAAGTTTCCCTCTAGGATTCAGTTGGTCCTGGGAATATCACTGGCAACTTCTTAAGAAAGCTTAAAGGTGCCAAGAATTAGTATCATTTATTCACACATTCAAATGTTTTTAAGTGAAAAAGTTTATTATAATGCCATTTATAAAAATCACATAAAGCAAAACTATATATTTCCCAGGGATTCATATGAATTGAATGTGGCATAGAAAAGTCTACATCAAATTCAAGGTGGTTATCAAGGGCGGGGAAAGGTGCTGGAAGTTGGGAACAAATGGGATTTAACTTATCTGTATTGTTATTTCTCTTGCAGAGACAGGCCAAGAGGAAAAAAGAAAATATCCCTATGGTTGTCAGAAGTTCATACACTTGGCATATATAATGCATATACCTAGTAAGTATAGGCATTTTGATTTACATTCTTCCATGTAATTTTATGAATTAAAAAAACCTCCAAAATATTGTCATAAAGCCACAAAAAACATGAGCATAAAATCATGAGCATCCAACTCCCCTACCAATGTGTTTGTATCCAGTGGGCGCCAATGAACTAGACTAGATCTGAATCTTGTCACCCTGTCTTGTTCTTGGCACCACCAAAGGCTCCTTTCAACATGCTGAATATCCCATCTATAAATCTGTTAAAACTCAAAGGCTCCTCTATCCATCACTAGTTCATATGATGCAGGCTTCCAGGAGCTCTCAGAAAACATCAAGTCACAGTCCTTTTTACATCAGTGAGATGCTACTGGATGCTGCACTAACACAGACGGCTGCATTGTGACCTATCGCTGCAAACACCAGTGCTTCCCTTCTTCAAAAAACACTTTGGAGTAAGTTGGTACTTATAGTAAGTTGCAAAGAAAATACATGAGCTCCTCCTACTCTTCACCCAGCTTCTCTTCGTGACAACATCTTCATCCATTCACTCTCGAAACCTCAAGCAGAAGTTAAGATAGGTGGCTTAATCAGCTTTGGAGAATCACACAATGTCACCCAGAAAGTTCTGTAGTGGAGAGAGCTGGCTTTGAATTCAGGAGACCTGGTTCTGGTCTGTGCTTGCTCAAAATATGAGGTATCATTATGTAAAGCCACTTGCATCTTTGGACCCCAGTTAAGCTTGCACAGTTGGATGCTGCAGTAGTCACAGACTGGCAAAGTGTCTTCAACGGATCCCTAGGGCTCATGGAGATGGCATCCTGGGCTCAGGACCCGGAGAGGTCAGCTTGGTCCCCACTCTACTGTTACAACCAGACCCTCTCCTCTCCTCTGTTTGATATATAGAGCTGACTCAAAAAATATTAAAACTTAGAACGGTTGAAGCTTCCCTCAGCCTGGCTGTAGGATTCAGTGGGTCCTGGGAAGACAACGGTAGCTTCCTGAATATTCACTGGTAACTTCTTATGGAGCCCAAAGGTTCCAAGAATCAACTCTTCCACGGTCTGGGAATCAGGCGTGGATTCAGTTGTTCAAATATCTAGAAGCTTAATTCCAAGGAAGCTAAGGACAAAACACAGCCACTTTAATAGACTGGAAGGCATTTTCAAGTTTATTTATTTTTCTGAAAAACAACCAAGACTGGGCTTAGGCAGAGCTGCCAGTGGATTGTGTTACACTTTACAAGAGTGTGAGAGTTTGCATAAACTATCTATGGCATTTGAGATCCAGGCCAGCAATTCGACATGTATCATTTTGGAATGCTTTTCCCTTGTGTTCCTAGCTGCCTGTCTCCCAGCAGAGTGTGGCAGAGCCCATCTCTGAGCGCCAGGCTGGGGTCTTATCTCTGCATCTAAAGCATTCACGGTCAGAGAATTTGCCAACATGAACAAAGCCTTCTTATTGCTTAAATACGATTTCCTCTTATCTTGTCGGCTCTATCAGCACTAGACAGGGCTTTAGAGGAATATGCCTCTGTTATTTTTTTTTCTTCTTCTGTTTTTCTGTTTAGTTGTGTGTTTGTTTCAGGCTGGCTACAATCCTGACCAGGGACAGTCAAAGCAGATCAGAGAGGAATAAACAAATCCAGCCGAACCTTTGCCCAAAGCCCTAGTTGATCTTAAAATCAGCTCTATTTCTGGGGAGGTGGAGGGAGGCTGGGGGCAAAGGGAGAGGTGAGCAACCATAAGCCTCCTGCTTTTATTGATATTGCATGAATATGCTCATCAACACCATTTATTGACAGCCTGCAGACATGCCCAGCTCTGGAGTGCTCAGGAAAGAGAGAGCCTTGCTGAAGTCACAAGGTTGGCTACTGTGGAAGGTGTGACCCCAAGGGGACCGAGACTATGGGGATGCTCTGTTTTTATTGACCCACTTTTTTGCACCTTCCACAAAAGCAAATCCAACTCCACCAAGCATTGCTGACTAAGAAAGATTTCTGTGGGGGGAACAAATAGGAGAGTCACATCACACATCATTGTAGATTTTACRCCCTTCCAACTATCACCCCAAGTTCCTCAACTATCTACTTGTCCCCTCCTCTCCCTGTTTCTCCAGTGTTGCTGACTCTAGGCCTTCATGTCTCCCAATCTCCTGCCAATCCCAATCTGCACATCTCCTGAGTCTCCTACAGAGCCATCCTGTTCTCCCTCCTGTTCTCCAAACTTGCACCCCAAATCCTCCTAAAGACGCTGAGGTTCTTCCCAGGCATACAGCTTCAGGGATATTGGTGCACGAAATGTGGTAACCTCCATTCACCTCTGTCATACTCACATGAACAAGCATTCCTTTATATCACGGGCAGGATTTTCATTTCCTGGGGAAGATGAGGAAGGGATTCTTCAGAGCTGAAATGTTCTATATTTCCCACTGCCATGTTCATTGCTGCATTATTCCTAATAACTAAGATGTGATAATAAATCACCTGTCCATCAACAGATGCATGGATGAAGAAAATGGTGTATGCTTGAAACAGAATGTTACTCATCCTCATAGGATACAGTGGCACACACCTGTAATCTCAGTGACTCTGGAGGCTGAGGCAAGAGGATCACAGGTTCAAGGCCAGCCTCAGCAAATTAATGAGAACTTGTTTCAAATTTTTTTTTTTAAAAAGGGGGTTGCAGATGTGGCTCCACACCAAAGCACTCCCGGATTTCAATCCCCATACGAAAGGGGAAAAATAAAGCTAATCATCCTTAAAAAGAGAAGGAAATTCTGCTGCTGACAACAAGAAGAAGGAACTGTGGGGGTATTACAGTCACAAAAGGACAAATACTGCATGATTCCATCTATATGTGGTACCTAAAACAGTCCAACCCATAGAATCAAAGATGGAATTAGTGGCTTCCAGGGTCTGGCAGCGGGGATAAATGGGGAGATGCTCATCAAAGGTCATAAAAGTTTAGTTAAACAAGACAAGTTAGTTCTAGAGATCTGCTGTTTGCATTTTACCTGTAGTTACCAATAAAACATTGTTTACTTAAATATGTATTAAGAGGGTCGATCTCCTGTGGTGCTCTTACCACAAGAAAACACAATTTTGAAAATCAGCAAGTATTATTTTGAGTGAGTCAAATATTGTTATTTGGTAAATGAACGAAGGAATGAAGACATTAATAAAGAAACAAGTGAAGGCAAAAATGTAACGGAGCTAGRCAAAGAGCAACTGCCGTTGGTTGGGCTGGCAAACACCCTCACAGGTCCCCTTAGGGCTGGAGGAGAGATCACATAGTGTCTTCTTGGTTACTCCATGGACAGATAACTCACTGCCATTCACAAACAGCTTAATTTACCTCTGCACAGTCCTTTGCAATTGTCATAGGGAGAGTCGCCTGCCTGCACTTTCTTGTACTCTGTCCTCTACGTAACAATTTGTGTAAACTTTCTTGTTTTATAGTTTCATAGTTAGAGGGGACTTGGATAGTTTATCCACTGAAACCATTTCCTTTTCAGAGGTCAAAAGAGGAGAGGTATCATGCAGAATGTCACTCACTAGTAAGYGCAAAGTTGTTACAGAAACGCAAAATTTTCTCTCAAAATGAGCACATTTTTCTCATCTATGACCTGCACCTTTTCTTTTATTTTTTTAACCAAGGATTGAACCCAGGGGCGCTTAACCACTGAGCCACCTTTCCAGGCCTTTTTATTTTTTTAATTTTGAGACAGGGTCTTACAAAGCTACACAGCGCCTCACTAAGTTGCTGAGGCTGGTCTTGAACTTGCAATCCTCCTGCCTCAACCTCCTGAGCTGCTGGGATTACAGATGTGCACCACCCTGCCC